AAGATTACACGGTGAATTGCTCAATTTCTATAATATTTTAGAAATGAGAAAATTTTAGCCATGGAGACAATTTAATGGTTTCCAGGGACTAGGGACAGGGTGGGGGAACATGAAGGATATGGGTTCTGTCTTGACTGTGGTGGTAGATACACAAACCTATACATGTGATAAAATTGTATGGAACAAAATAGACAAACCTAACAAGTCCAAGTGAAATTGGGAAAATCTGATTAAGGTCATTGAATTGTATTTATTTCAATATCTTTGGGACATTCTACTATAGTTTTGGAAAATGTTAGTATTGGGTGAAACTGGCTAAAGAGTACATGGGATATCTTGGTATTCTTTCCTACAACTGCATGTGAATCTACAATTTTCTCAATAACGAATTCAGTTATAAACAAACAAAAAACTTAGATTCTAACAATAGTCTTGCTATTGAAATGAATTAAAGCCTCCCAATGTAATTGTATTGGGGGGACATATCGAGAGATTAAGGAGGAGGGAGAGAGAGAGAGAACGAGAATCACCTAGTCATGATAAGGAAATAAAATGGTTACTATTAATCAAACAAAAATGAAAGTGTGGTCTACTTAAAGTTCTCAGTGGTAAGGTTGGAAATCCATATATGCTGTGAATGTCTGAAATACTGACACATACACACATAACAGTACTTAAGACACATTGCCTCCATCTCAGTGTCTTGACCAGTACTGGCTTCATGGTAAGTATTGTAGTAGAATGTTCTAGTCCAAAAGAGAATTTAGGAATTAAAGCAGATTTACATTTGACTTAGCCTCTTTTTATTTCTGTGGTATTCATTCCATACATTGTAAATATGTTTTCTTGTCATATACCTGTGATGCATCATTATCTTACAATATCTAAAATCTACACAGTCTCACCATTACTTATGGTCCTTCTGATGGTTTTTCCAGTGTTCTCCAGCTCCACCATTTGTTGAGTAATTTGGATGCAAATATATTTAAATTTAGAATTTAATTCAAAATCTCTATTTTGTATATTGTTGGATTGTCATTTGAGTGATTATATCCACATATGCATGCATATTTATGTATATGAAAAACTATGCTGTGTATATTAGAAAGCATTATAAAGAATTAAAGTATAATCACATACCCTAGATAAAATCAATCTTAAAAATTTACATATTTTCACTGCCATCATAATTGCTTTAAAATTTAGGTAAAAGTATGCTTTCTGTGCAACTTTTGCTACCTTAGTATTTTATCTATATTTTCAACACTGAAAATTGTTACTATTTTACATACATTGGTAGGCAGTATTTTTAAAAATATGCTTTTTTGAGGATAATAAAAAACCCAAGAATTCATCATTGGTAAGGCAATGGACTTGAGTATAAAAGTACCCTGATTTCTTGTGTAATATTTAAATCTCCATTGCTCCTGGGTACTCATATACCATGAGGTACTTAATAGTCAAAAGCATAATCATTTGAAAAGATTGCTGTGGGTTAGGTGAGAAAGGATAGGACAAAGTGTGGGAAAATTACTGTTTTTAAATATATACCTTTCTTATTTTGCTTTTCTCTTGATTTCTCAGTTTTTCTATCTCCAGAATATAAAAAAAATTTAAAAAAAACCTCTCAGCTATCTAATATGTGGATTCATTACATTTATTACAAAGATGCTTAGTAAAGATTGGTATTTTAATTTTAGAGTAAAGATATTCCAAAATAGGAGAGACGGTTCCGTTTACTCAATATTAGAGTGAAAATCTCATCTGTCTTTGGGGTAGTTGAATTCCCTGTCTAACTTCTCAAATGTTTTGTGTTATGGAAACCTCAAATGTATTTTGTTAAATTCTTTACCCTAGACTCAAGTGTAATTTAAAGGAAATTCCATCCATATGTTTATAATTTAATATTTTAGGCTGGTTTTTCCTTTTCTTTTTTATATTTGGTGTCCAAGAATTCTCTTGAGCTACTTCTTTCAGGGATCTTTTGGCAAGATTAGACTAAGTCACAAACCAAAAATTTAAATTTGGAATTCAACATACATCCATAATGTGTAGGTTCTGAACAATACCAAGATGTTTTCTCATTTTGATTCTAAATGTCAGAGATACAGAGTTGAAGATTACTCTGTGTCACTAAAATGACATTAAAGGACATTGCAAATAATTCTAGTTAATGTTAATCAGAGTCAATAAATTTTCTTATTCTTAAATATATTTTATTTTGGAAAAACAGTAGTATTCTTAATAATTCTTTAAAATTTCTTTATCTTACTATTTACTATTTAACGAGAGTGACTGTTCAATGAACTATTTTAACTGCACATCTTCATATACTCAAGTATTTCTGTCAAATATTTTCTAAATGTCTAGTCTTTAAATATAGGCAGTGCTTTTTTTCTATCCTAGCATAAACCATGCATAGTAAACATGCATGATTTGGCTATAGAAATATAATCATATATGCAAGTGATTATTAGTTTATGGTCTGCAGTGGAGCATATTAATTTATGGTCTGCAATCTATGGTCTGAGAACTAGATAATCTATGCAGACACTCTCTATTTTTTGAATCTAAAAAAGACTTTATAAGCATGTGACATGAACCTTGGAAACAATAATGAAACATAGAAATTCATATTCAAAATACATTGAGAATAACTGATTTTGTCTCAGGTCTTCATTTGCTGGATATAATTGTAGTGAAAACGGATTAAACAGAAAAATGATTTGACATGGAGGAATTATTTTCTGCAAGTACTGCTGACATTCCTAAATATACACAAAAGTTTAGCTCAGTCTGCTAAATAATAGTATTAAAATCATATGCAACCCAATTAAAATATATGTGTGTACTGTGTGTGTATATATTTTTAGCGTGTATATACGTATACACACGTGTGTGGTATATATTTTTTGAGGTGACTTGGGAAGGCACTTTAAGGGTACTGAGACTTTTTTTTTCAATTTCCCTCTTTTGGACAAGAAATTTAATATTTGTTCATAGAGGAAAGCTGGACTCCAAGAGTATCTTGTTCTGAGGCTAAGAACGTGAGAATCATCATGGAGTGTTGGTACCACTACTTTCCTCTGCATCCAGTCCTCCTGGCCTTTGGATTTTTCTTTTATAAGAAACACAAGAAGGTGGTATTGGCTACTAAATTCTGTAGATGGTTTGATGGATTGAAACTAAATTCTTCTTGATCCTCACTCTCCATGAATCAATGGGCATTGAGATCACACACTTTACTGTGTTTGGGTCAGGATATGGATGTTTATCCTGAATATTTGTAAAAGAAACAATTTGATATATTGGCAATAGCTCTGAATTTTGTGATGAAAGATCTGAATCAAGTCCTGTCTCTGCCACTTACTAGTCAGGTATTCTGACATTGGTTCAGGCACCAATACCTACCTAATAGAATTTCTATAAGCATCGTGGAAAATGTACACTAGAAGTGTTTTAAAAATAGATACGTTATACAAATGTAGAGTTACTACATCTGGAGGTTGTGCTTATATTATATTGGTGGCATTTTATCCTCTTCATTTGAACCTTCAGTGCCTCTTAAAATTTAAATATTCAGAATAGGGGAACATATCTGAATCCAAAGATCTGAGGGAAGAGCATTCCACCCACAAGATCCTAAGGCAGGAATAAACGTGGCCTCTTCAAAGAACAGGAGGAAAGTCAGCATGACTGGAGCAAAAAGGGAAAGTAAGAAAAGGATGGGCGATAGGAATCAAGGCCAGGGAGTAGGGTTGGTGGCAGATCATGTGAAAGAGACTGTGATTAAGCGTTTTTATTTTATTCTAATTGTAACAGAGGCATTAGCAAGTTGCGAAGAGAGAGTTACGTAATTTTATTAAATTTTTTAAAAAGATTTTTTAACTGCTGCATACCAACAAGACAGAAGTATTAGTAGGCATTTGAGAAGTAGTAATGCTGAAAGGGGTGGTGATGGTTTTCACAGGATAGAAGCAATGAAGGTGGAAAGAAATACATGGATCTAGGAAGTCATTTGAAGAAATGAGGTATTAGAACTTGCTGACAAAATGTGGGTCAGAGAGAAACTAGGTTTTTGACTTGAGCTGTTGGACGGATGGTGGCACCATTTGCTGGGATGTTAACAATGGAAAGAAAACAAATTTGCAGCAGGCTGGGGATCAGGAGTGCAATTTTGTAATGTTAAGTTGAGGTGGAGATTTCTTTGGACATCCAAGTGGAAATACAAAGTCACTGTGTGTCTGAAGCTTAGGAGAGGTTAAAGGACTGGAGATAAGAACTTGGCATTCAATGGCAAAGACGTTCTATTTCATATTAGCATGCTTTGGACTCTCCAATATTTAGAGAGGAGCAGCAGGGAGAAACAAAGGAGGCCAAGGAAGAGGAGGTAACAGAATAATGAGAAGTATGTGGTGATAAGGAAAAAATGTGACAAATGTGTTTAAAGAGGAAGGAATTTTCAATTGTTGTGGAACATTGTTGAGGTCACATCAGGCAAGGTTAAAAAATGAATATCCAATTTGGCAGTATTAAGGTCATCTGTGATCTTGACAAGTGGGATTTCTGTGGAATGGAGGGTACAGATTTCTAGTTGAAATGGATTGATGAAAGAATGGGATGTGAGGAAATGAAAGCAGTGAAAATAAACAACACATGAGATAAACTGTCTCTTTTGTCATAGGAGCAGAGAAATGGGGGCATTACTTCATGGAGAAGGTGGTGATGATGCAGTCAGTTGCTGAGGGTATACTGAGGGAAATGATCCATACAGAGGGAGAATTCATGTGAGGCCCTTGAAACAACCATGACAAAGCTTTTAATATCCCCATTTTATAGATGAAGAAACTTCCACATAAATTAAGTTTCTAAGGTCACAAGATGATAAATGACAAAGCAAGAAATAGCCAAATTATGGAAAGAATTTGAAGTCATATTTCTGTGATTTCAAAGTCTAATCTCTTTTTCACTATATCACTGGTGTAGGCTGAACAATGCTCCTCGCCTCCTAGAGATGCCCACATTTTGATATCTGGAGCCTGTAATGTGTTACCTCATGGTAAAAGAGATTTTACAGGTGTGGTTAAGGTAAGCATTTTGACTGGGGAGATTATCCTGCATTATCTGGATGGGCTCAATATAATTGCAAAGGTCCTTATAGGAGAAGAGAGGAAAATCAGCATTGGCAGTAGGGGATATGATGATGGGTATAAAGAGTTGGAGTGGTCTGATGAAGCGGCCATGAGCCAAGGAATGTAAGGGGCCCCTAGGAGCTGAAAAGGGCCAGGAAATGATCCTCCCCTTAGAGTCTCTAGAAGAAACCAGCCCTGCCCACACTTTGATTTTAGCCCAATGAGATTTATTTTGGGCATCTGAACTTCAAAAGTGTAAGATAATAAAGTTGTGTTGCTTTAGGCCATTAAGTTTGGGTAATTTGCTACAGCAGCAATAGGAAACTAATCTACCACCTTTACTATGTTAGTTAACTCTTTGCAGAATTGTCTGTTGCTCCTTAGTTCAGGTTATATGTGTTTTATCATGGCACTGTCCAATGATTATACTGAATAAACAAATACTAACTTCTATATTTAAAACATTGCTTTACTTGACCATCAAGACAAGGATGACAGGCACCTGGGTGGCTCAGTTGGTTAAGGGGCTGCCTTCAGCTCAGGTCCTGGAATCCAGCCCTGCATTGCATCTGGCTCTCTGCTCAGCAGGGAGTCTGCTTCTCTCTCTGCCTCTGCCCTCACCACCCCACCCCCCGCTCCTGCGCATGCTCTCCCCCGCCAAATATATAAATAAAATCTTAAAAAAAAAAAAAAAAAGACAAGGACGACAATACTACACAACTTCTTGGGTAGTATATTTGAAACTTCTGAAGATTACTCTGGCAAATATTTTGGATACTAGGCCCTCAGTAGCCCTTGACAGGGAGTAGCTACAAATCTGAGGGCTTCCAAGTTGCCTCTTGAACTCTGGAGTGTGGGTTTCTAAAATCTCATCTTGTCCAGAAAAAAAATTTACCTTGCCCCATCTCTTCTAGATGTTCTCTATAACTTTTGATGAATCAGTAATCTTGTGATTTGGGGGAGTTGAGCTTTTTAAAGACTTCTTTGATCTGATTTATAATTCAAAGGATGAATTTTAATCTCTGCCACCAATATGGTCATAGCTCTTTACCCTGAAAATTAAATTCCAGATCATACATAAGAAATAAAGCTTACCAAATAATATCTTGCATGCTTTTATGTGACTGTTGCTTTGCTTTAGTAAGAAGTAAGAGTGAATGAAGCAAAGTATTTGGAAATATTTTGCATAGGTATGGCTCACATACATTATAACATTTCTGCTTCTGATTCCAGTTATTTCTCTTAGCTTTTAGATGTGGGATACATTTTAGCCAATTTGGTTTATTAATATAAAGAATGTACAATTGGGGAAATGAAACAGACTTTAAGAATAGTTTTTTTAATTAAAAATTTTTATAACTGCATTTCAAAAGTAAACGTGACAATCATTTGGACTAAATTCTCCAAACTTCATTATTAAGCCTGTGAAAACTTTCCAGTCAGCGAACAGAGTAGTTGGCAGCTACGCACATTCCGTCAAATGGGTGTGAGAAAATATTACTGAATCATATTGACAGGAAAGGGCTTTCTCTTGCTCAGGGCAAAGTGTAACCAGATCTATGAAGAATTTCTGAGTGGGGCGCCTGGGTGGCTCAGTTGGTTGAGCGACTGCCTTCGGCTCAGGTCATGATCCTGGAGTCCCGGGATCGAGTCCCACATCGGGCTCTCTGCT